TCAATATTTTTAATTCATGATCGATAATGCTGTAGAATTTGTACAAAATTCTTTAAGAGAGTTTATTTAATCACTGTAATATATTAAATTAATGCCCATTTCTACTACAATAATATAAATTTAATCTCGATTCACTTTATTCTTTATCCTTTTCTAAAACCATTTTCACTTAGAAACCATCGTGTCAAAACGTATATTGTACGTATATTCTCGTATATATTGTACGTAAATCTATCGTTTTATCAGTATGATATCTGCTACGAAAACATTTTTGTTATCTATGTATTTTTATTTGTGCAATGGAGTACGGCGCTTTACGTTGTGATACCAATAGTCTGTCAACTGTTGGGAAACCCACACATTAAATGAAGAATTTGATTGCGGAATAAAAATTTGTGATAATGGATAATTCATTCTGAGGCTGACTTAGAAAGGAGTCGAAACGTCAAATTTCTATTGTATTGCGCTCATCGAAATCACATCAAGGTTTATGTAGTAAAGTCTAAATAAATATAAGATAATCGCATTAATAACTGCATTGATTCCCATAGCTGTTATTAGTTTTTATAAAAAATAAGATATAAACCGAAATTAATCTATAACGCATTGACAGAAACAAATCCAACAAAAGAACTCTAAACAGAAATGTATCCGCGGGAAGATTTTCAAAAATATAAATATTTTTCATGCTCTTATTTCACATCTAGTTTCGATTTTGTCCGGTCTATGAAGATATCTTTTCGGTTTTTCGCATACGTTATAACATAGGGTACGCAATCTCGTTATCGAAGCTGTGCGAGGAAACATTCACGTTCCACGGCATATTTCCGACAAACTTGGCGGAACGTCGACGGGAACGACGCGAAAAATAATGCTCGCCTGAACTTCCCTGCATGCAGGACCTATACCCTCGTATGCAGGTGTAATCTGTCCTACCCTCCGGATAGCTTGTACGAGTAACTTACCATGCTCAAGGCTCAGCACGTTACGCTCACTTACTCATTATTACACACTGCATGGCAACGTGATTTATGTCCGAAATAGATGTGTGCAAACTGCAGCGTATGAGTCAGTATCACTTAAGACTATATAACTAAAGATTATGGATTTAGGTCGCAGTCTGGCGATGAACTGAGCGTGAATGAGACAAACGGATGGAGGCACTTATAATGTACATAGACTTTGAGATTTGTCAAAGTATAAATATACACGGAAAGAATGGTTTTGTTGAAAAATTTTGTTAGATACAGATTTAAAAATAATTTTGTTTTTGGACCATCAAAATAATATTTAGATCTGTATCTAGCTAAATTTTTTAATACCTCAGTAAAATCGTTCTTTCCGTGTATATTTTAATTGTTAATGTTTCTTGCCAAAATTTAAGATATAAGTATAGAATCTCGTATAGTATATACATTACGCATTTCATTATTATTTTCTATGTAGATACATAATAAAATTGTAAATAAAACTCAAGCTAATTAATCATCATTTGCGACTAATTTGAAATATCAGAATTTTATGTAAAAAAGGCTCCATCTTTCTGACTGAAATTAATAACTAACGTTTTTTTCTTTGATTACAACAATAAAAATGGCATTTTTTTTTACTTCACTTTTGAAGTATTCAAATAAACATTAACAAAGTTTTAAAGTAATATCATAAAATGCTTCACACATTTGCATCCTCATTTTCATATCTCTCATAAAACTCACTCCTAAAATATCCAGCAATTTGAACGCGATTCCATAGTTTTCGGTCAGTGACATTTAAAAAAAACGTAACAGAATGATATTTCGATATGATAGGAATGACCGAACAAACGATAAGATTTCGTCTCACGGCGCGTCGGTGTGTTTGCTGGAACGCGTCCAAAGTTTCTCCAAAGTCGCGTGGGGGATCGTGGTCCCTTTTCTTTCGATGTCGCGACACCGAAAGTGGCATTGTACGCGTCTGAGACCACCAAAGAGTGCAGTAGCACGGAATGACGACGAGTTCTTTGATCCTCCCTCGAAGAGGCTGCATGCCGTCTAACGGGATTACCCCGCCCCGTGTAATTGCTCGTGAATGCGCAGATATACTCGCGACAATGGGTTGGAACGTTGATGGGACCTCATCGATTCGAGGTGACGTAAAACGAATCACGATACAATACGCAAGATCTGTGAAAACAATGCTTAATAAGTTAACAACATTTTCGCAGGGAGTGTACTTTCTGTTAGTTTTAAGAATTTAAACGATTATTTAAAAAAGTAAATGGATTATGGATTCGAAAAAATTGAAATTTATTTTCTGTAGTAAGAATATTGAAAAGATCATTATTTGTCGAGCCCCTCGAAGTTAACACTTATATTTGATTCCTAAATATCCTTATATTTGATAAGCTTTCCATCTATCACTAAATACAAAGATGGAACATAATCCTCGTAATAAACATAGATGTAAAAATTAGTAAACAATAATAGTTCTTAAAGAATCTGTTTACAGTTAACATTTGAAAAATTGTTTAAAACTTAGAACCTCAAAGAGTGTTTTAGTTTCTTATTTCCAATCGCTTGCAAGTTAAGAATCTTGATATCTCAACATTTTTATCAAAAAAAATGAGCAATATCAAATTTATCAGAAGCTATAAATAAGACTTGGAGATATTTTATAAGAACACACTGTAAAAAGAAATGTGTTTTACTCTTGTCTCCCATTTTTGAAACACTTAAAGATATTTAGTGTTTTGTCTATTGAAAAAGTTTAAAGCTAAAATGTTGTACATCCTCGTTGTAATCGAATGTCAAACAAGGATGAAATGATACACGCGAACATTAATCGAAACCCATAGTGTTTTAAATCCAAACATGTAGTGTTGTGTCTATTGAAAAAATTTAAAACTAAAACATCTTTAAGTGTTTAAGAACTGGAGACAAGGATAAAACATTTTAATATCTTAAACACACATAAAATTAAACACTTCTTTTCTCAGTGCGGTGACATCATAACAGATTTTCCAAATATTTTTTCCAACGACAACAGATAATTTAGATAATTCAACAGATTTCGTATCGTTTATTATCTATGTTGTAAATTTGATGGAGCTATCATCAGTGATACCCGTTGTGACATGCTGTCGATGGGATCTCGATCGCGGTGTCGAAGTTTGCGTTGGAGAAACGAGCGCGACGGCTCGAAGCCCCGCGGCTACACTGATTGCGGCGGACCCTACGACCCGTACAGACCCGGGAACGCCGTCCCCGGCCGACCAGGACCCTCATCCAAGGACATACCCGCTTCCCAATCAGAGGCGAAATCAGATTGTTTAACACAGCGGACACCAACTGCTATTTAAAGGCAGCATCTGCCCCATGGGGCTTGCTACATTCCGACGCGACGACGCTCTATCATGGAAACCGTTATCGAGAATGTTATCATTATGGAGGGAGCATCATTCGCATTGATTCTTCGCAAATCGATACATATTGGCGAGAATATAAATGAGAGCGAGAATATTTCTTACAGCTCTTAACACTTATACAAACGACTTATCACGAACTGTCCCCAGAATTCGATTCGGTTCTCCTTGAAATATATCATTAAATACAAAAATCTAAGAAACATGTGTTTTTTTTATATTAGCCCAATCTCAAATTTAAAGGGTGAAACCCCCTCAAAAATGAATAGGTATGGAAGTATTATCGAAATATTAGATTTTTGAACAATCCAAATACACAATTATAAAGTATATATAAAATCATAAAAACTTTGTCTAAAATATTTTTCTACATCTCATCGTTTCGTTGATAATTAGAATCAAAGTATTAGTTTTTTGAGAGGTTGTTTCAGCTCTTAAATCTGAGATTGAGTTAATATAAAAAAAATACGTGTCTCTCTTCGACTTTTATGTTTAAGAACATGTTTCAAAGAGAATTGAATCAATCCGGATAGTTGTGACAGGCCATTAGTTAATGACGTCTATTCTGTGAAATAAACGGAAAGTGTTATAATCAAACTATATACCCCTCGAATTTGCTTTTTAATTTTCTTTAAACAAAAATAGATGTTCAGTTGAAAAAATTCAGATAACACATTTTATTAGCTAAATAAAATTTTAACAATTAATTTTCAATTCTTTATCACTTGAATAAAATTGTAACATAATTATAATAATTATAATATGCTGCATTTTATTTAAAAAAAAAAAGTAGTATAGGTATAAACAACTAATAAAATATTTAAAAAAAATGATTTTGAAGCTTATAAAACTTGAACTGTTGAACCATAAAAAATGCGGAGATAAAAATTATAAGTATATGAATAAAATGCGCGTTAACGCGTACGTTAATGACGTGACGGTCTTCGAGCCAATTTGGAAATATCGCGATCCCACTGATTTTCGAGTAGAGCCAACCAGACTGACCTTTGTAGGCTATCGCCTGCGAGCATGTAACGAGGCAAAATTAAGGGGCATTGTACCCTTAAACAGATTGCACACGTCCGTGCGTGAACGTGACCCCTAAGGCTCTCGGACGAAAAATGCTCGCACGAAGAGAGAATCCTGGTGTGATAAGACGAAGAGAGGAGGCCTACACTACGACGGGGATGACATGGCGACGAAAACGAACGGGGAGATAAACGTACACGTAGCACACTCAGCCCCGTGTGTTTGCCTACACGGAAATCCTCTCTAACGGATTCTAACGCTCGGCCGAGTTTGCACTTTTTCATCTTCGGATCGATGACTTTTCTCCCGCTATCGAAGTATTCTCGAGCCACCGCTACATGAAAGTGTTCGGAAATCATCTGGCATCTCCTTCGACAGATAATTACGCGTCCGTTATGGGAATTACGGTTCAAACTGAAATTCGAATGAATCGCACAGTCATATTTTTACTATTTTATTTGAATCCAGATCTCTTTTTATTTCTTAAAAACGAATCATTCATCCTAGATATATTTCTTCCTGTAAAATTTTGATGAGGAGTAATGCATGGATGCGAAACATCCTGTTTCAGGCTATGGAAGCAGCTTATCAAAGACAGCACTGGACACGCACAGCCATCTCAGGCAGCCTGGTATGTAGTAGGTAGATATTTTTGAGAAGTTAAAGCGTTCTCTCATTTAACTCCATCTAAAATGAATTCTAGTCAGTGAGATATTCGGTAAATGAATTTAATTAAAATCTCTACTTGTCAAAGTCATTGGCATAAAAATATCGATCTCTGAAATAAAATATCTGACAAATTTTTAAGATATGAAATTTTTTATTTAGTTATCCCAAAGAATTATTCTAAATTTCATTATAGATGATAGCGTGTAAAGTCCATCTCGGATGATCTATATAATTTGAAACAAAATTTCGTATAGATTTTTATTTATAATTTTATGTAATTTTCTATCAAACTATGTGTGAATACATATAATTATTGTACTATCATATCTAACTTGCAATTTTTCCGTAATCATAAGATATCGTTCTTGTTTCACAAAATAATAATCCTTACTCTCTTCATACGTGTTCTATATTATGACAAATTATGCATTAATCTTTGTTTTGAATTACAAATTGAATAGATCACTTGACATGGCTTAAATCAAGGACTGAGAGTACAAGGTCCCTTTTCACCTGAAAAGCGGGCTTATCTATGCGATAATCAAACAAGGTCACTGTTACTTCGCGCGTCATCGATTCCTCGGAGTTTCGAATCGCGATGAGAAAAGAGCCTCGAATCCTTGGGCGTAGTCGCATCCCAGTATTTCTCTCTTCCATCAGTTCCCTCGTTCCCGGCAGATAAATGGGTGTACCGCGCCCCTTCCCATTATTAACTTGTAAGTGAATTACCGTTCGATCGAAAGGCGATCACTCCGGCACGCATTCAGCGGATTCATCGGGCGAAACGACCTTTGAGGTCCGGCAATTCCGAATTCGTCCCCATCATCCGCGTCTGTCCCCCTCTCATAATCGCTCGACTTGTATTTTTATGGGGTTCGTCTTGGAGTTCTCGTATCAGGACTCTTCTTCGTTCAGACTATCGAAATCATTAAATCGGGACGTTTAACCTCCTCCATGGTTAAAAAGTCTGTCTGACATTTTTTTTATTTAAAAGAAATTGTAAAGTACCTTCATTCACATACATTAATTAGACCTATTGTTAATTCACAATCTTTAACCATCTTAATTTATAATTACTGTTCATAAGAATTCATAAATCCCCCCTTTTGCTGTATTATTTTTTAAATGGAACAAATATATATAAGAATCTCTAAATATAGAAAAAATATCAATCAAGACATTCTGTTATTGCGAATCGTATGTTAGAATTTGATCACAAGTTTGATTGAAAAGATGTAATGATATTAGATTCAGAACGAAATTATTATATAAAAGATTAATATCGAAAATGATTTATATCAAAGTCTAGAAAAATAGTATATTAATACTAACGAGAATACTAAACTTTTAAATAAATCGTATTTTAACATCTTTAATGTGTTTGACAGAATTTTAATAGTGATTATTAATATGTTTATATACACAACAGTTTCTATACACACCGTCTGATCTTTATTATTTATTACAATTTATAACTAGCGTTATCTTCATTCCATTCTTGATACAACAACATTCCATATGAAAATTATATCATAATCCGTAAGTTTGCTGTCTTTTTATTATTTCTTTTTTTCTATTGACTCTTCCAATTACGTTCACATTCTAATATTGTTATATTCATCTTGTAGTTTAACGTTGAGTAATTTAATGTTGAATAAGGGAAATACAATACAGACTGATATGAGTCTTCGAAAATTATGTTTTTGATTGGTTTTCTCGACTTGAGATATTAACGGAGTAACGAAAAAATGCTTCAGAATGTAGGAACGGTGGCAGATTATGAATTACTTGCAATTTTAATTTTCCCTTTTGGCCAATACTATTAGAATTATTTGCGACTTCTTTCATCTTTCATCATTTTAACATTCTAATTTTTAATCCCCTATGACTTTTCATGTGTAATTGAATTTCATTTCTTGTAAATTATATGCGACTGAAGAAAACTTGAAACTAGTTTCGTTTATTTTTAATGTATTTAAATTCACTTAATATTTTATATCCTTCATTTTTGCACTTTCTTTTCCTACTATTATTATAATGTTATACGCTATATTTAAAAAATTCTAAAAATATTATTTTATAGTTACATGAAATATCTGTGTTACGTTACTCATTATTTCAGACAATAAAATTCTAATCGTAATTTTGAGAAAAGTTGTCGTTAGTATCCAAACTATTGCGCTTTTTCTTATATTGCAATATTGCGACGATAAAAATCGCTTGTCTAAACGTCCTCCGAAAAGCTTAGAAGACACTCGTCGCCCTTTAAGCCACTCCGTCGGCAGTTTCTCAAATTGAAATTATTATGATCCAAATGAATTCTATTCTATTGTGGGGTTACGATTATGTTCTTTTGTATGACTGTAGGGCCCTTCATATCTGAGCGGCGGCGAGCGTCGGTGATGACGCATTGTAAAGCTTTTAAAGGGTGATACGGGGGCCCTTGAAAAACAACCGTGTAACGGATAGGTATATCCTATATGAAACTGCGAAAAATTTTATCGTTTGTGCTTATTCACAGTGTGAAAAACTGAGTTTATTGATATAAATTACGCAAACATTTTGCTGTTACATATAATTAACAAATTGTTATAGTATTAGGGGTGTGATTTAGTTTTGAGGGTTTTTGGAAGAGATGGCATTAATGTCAGTGTTGTCGAAGACGTTTCAATCACAGCTATTATTTCTTAGTGCTTTAATATTACTTCATGGTATTTAGTCGTTTGCTAACAACAGACGCAGTAAACATCGTATTTATATCATTTTAAAAATGGAACTTCCTAAAAAGCATTTTCGACATGCATTGCTTTTGTTTTTTAATCGAAGAAAATAGCGGCTGAAAGTTATAGAACTCTGATAAAAACTTATCAGATGTCCATCAAGACGTGTGAATATCGGTTCTGTCGATTAAAAAGTGGTGATTTCAATGTTGACGATAAAAGCGGGAAAATGCAAATTTGCAAGCATTATTGGACGAAAATCGAGCACAATCTACGTCAGAACTTGCCGAAGAACTAAATGTTGATCGTACAATAGTTATTAAACGTTTACGTGATATGTTGTTTAAATACATCAGGTTTTAAGAAAAAAAACTCTCAAAACTAAATTACACTCCTAATAATATATTTTAAGAAGGGAGGAAGCGATCTTGACATACTTTCGACTAGTATCAAATTTGATCTCGTACTTGAGAATAAAATTCCCGCATATTTACTCAAGTAATCTAATAATTAAATAAATATGGAACTTACCAAGTATTGTGAATCTCTTATGACCCACAGATCCCTACCAAATGTTCGGGGCGACGAGCAGTCGTCTCGCAAGCTCTGGTTCCGGACAGATACAGCTCTGGCAGTTTCTACTCGAGCTTTTGTCGGATTCAAGTAACGCCGCGTGTATCACGTGGGAAGGAACCAATGGTGAATTCAAGTTGACCGATCCCGACGAGGTGGCGAGACGATGGGGCGAAAGGAAGTCCAAGCCTAATATGAATTACGACAAATTGTCGAGGGCCCTGAGGTGAGTTTCAGGATGGCGCTTTCCCGTCGCGCCGCGTCGGTTCGCAACTCGCGACAACAACGGCGCGTTTTTCCCGAACGTCAAAATGGAAAAGCCATTAACGGACCATCATTTATGTTTTGACGAAGTTTCGGGGTGAAAGTAAATTCGTTCGATACATGAACGTTTGAATGTCGCGTTTGCTCGCGCGCACGCATATATATATGTGTGTGTGTGTGCGTGTGTGTGCGCGCGCGCGCGCGTGTGTGTGTATGTTGGTGTCGTGTCGGGACTCAGGGGGTGGCGGACAAGGGAGAAATTTCAATCATCGACAGTCAGACTGACGGTAGACATGGCTATTATTTTTCCATCAGATCCGCTGATTATATTACGCGATTGCTCTTTTTGACGTCCCTTTACTAACCGTATAAGAACTCTCTGACAAGCAAGCTCATTTTCAACGTCGAAGTTGAAGACGTTGAACTAAGAATTCAATTTTTTATCGCAAAATTTATATATGTATAGCAAAATTTAAGAAATAACGTCAAATAATAAATATATGTCAATATAAGAAACAACATACACACAATATTTATGATTTCGAAAACAGCAAATAACTGTCTTTGAATCACTTATCGTTTATATGAATTATTATCGTATTAATTGCTTATATTAAATAATTTTACTAAAATTAAAATGGCTTTGAAAACAATATATAAATCTTCATTTTATTTGATGAATTTTTAAGTCATCGCGTAATAGTTACAGTTGTCTCAATTTTATAAGTTTGATGGCAAATCTGCCGACTTTAGTTAATAAAGCTAATAAAGAAAAGTTAAAGATTTTGGAATAATAATCCCAAATAGTCACCGAAATTTAGATGTGCTGTCCAATTTTTTAAGAGAAACCCAGCAGAAATATTAGCTTGAAGTTCCTGAAAATGTAGATCCACTATATCACTCAACGTTAGAACTCATAAAATCTAAATGAAGCGTCCGGTCTCTGTTTGCAGGTATTATTACGACAAGAACATCATGACGAAGGTGCACGGCAAGAGGTACGCGTACAAGTTCGATTTCCAGGGGCTGGCAGCCGCGACGCAGCCGGCGGCGGCCGATCCGGCGGCGTACAAATACCAAAGCGAGCTCTTCATGTCCGGTTACGGTCACGCGAAGCTGAACCTGATGCCGCCGCCGGCGGCGTCGGTCTCGGTTTCCGTTCCCGGCGGCCTCTTCCAATCGGCATCGAGCTACTGGTCGACGAGCCCGGGTGCAAACTTGTACGCTGGCCATCACACGGCCTCCGGACACGTGCCACCTCATCTCGGCACCTATCCGCATTACGCATGACCCGCCGCCGAGCACTGGGGTGCTCTCGGCACACCGCGTTGAAATGTTTCTACTGAAAAAAAAAAAAAAAAAAGTACGGAGCCGCATCTGCCACCGTCGTCGTCACCACCGCCGTCGGCAGCATGTGAAATCGTAAATTGCGCACCACTCGGCCCCTTATCCCGCCCCCGCAGGCTCGGATCGCACATTATTTCAGGTACTTGCACGAATCTGTCCATATCGCGTTACATTGCTTGCAACATTATCCTTTCGCAATGGATTACGAAGCGATCGTCGCATTTCCAACGATTCAAATGAATGCGAGTAGCAGAGTAAATAGTATGACAATAAGTTTTGTAGCGTCTTTTTCTCCCGCAAAGTTGGGGAAGTATAATTAAACGTACAATCAACATGTTGCCTCCCTTATATTCAGTACACTTCGTTTTGATAGTGCTCAACAACGATCATCAATTGTTTATTTTATTTAATAAGTTATCTCACACGACTCTGTGGTCAAAAATATCAAGTAATACTTTTGAAAAACAGAGAGAATATCAATATCAAATTTCTTATAAATTTCTAATAAATTTAATGATGAAGAAATTATTAAATTGTTGAAAGACATTTGCAGAAAGGAGAAACAATAGCGCGCGATATTGTTTCAAAATGATACAAACATTTATTGAGTTGAAAGAACTTCCAACTGACATCTCTACCGGTAGGTACATATTTCAATTGAAGAGTTTCAAGGGTGCTTCTAAACGTGGAAACATGAGATGTTTATAGTGTGTAGGAGAAGTCTACTTTGAAAGAGATAACATTAATTCAAATGAGTGAGTCACATTCGAGTCTAACTAAATTTTATTTATAAACTTAAATGTCGGATCAATGTTTTCTGATGTACATCTGGCAATTATAAAAATACAAATTTTGTGCGAAAACCACTCATAGATATATTCATATTAAATTTAAAGGAAGTAAACTGTAAAGATATTTATTTTCACTGTCCAACTATTAATGAGTTATGTACAACAGTCTAGGTCACTAGTAATCGGGTCGTCAGTAGTGACATAGCTTTATAATCGAACATAAGTAGTAGATGACAATCCCATTAGTAACGGACGAGATATCCGTATAGCGATGCACGGAAAGAATGGCTAAAGTAACTAAAAATTTAGATTTAAAAATAATTTTATTGAACCATTTTTTATTGAAATAATTATATAGGACGCTCAAACTAGTTGCTAGAATATTAAAACTCGTTACAGTATTATCATTATGAACGCCCTACATAATTATTTTGGTAGTTCGACAAAATTATTTTCAGATCTGGATTCGAATTTATATCACATGCGAAAATCTGTAATATACATAACTATATTACATAACTATAGTATTTTCGTATACTATAGTGTACTTTCATATGTGATATTTTTCGAGAAGGCTCCTATATCCAGTTAAATTTTTAAGTACTTTAGCAAAATAGTTTTTTTCATTCATTCCTTCCGTTTCTTCCGCAGAATTTATTAAAAATATACATTCTTTTTATTAGGAAAATATTATTTTATTTAGAAAACATTTAAACAAGCTTTGTGTAATCATTAAAGTTTCCTGTTATAGAAAAATTTAATTCAGGAAAAAGATTTTTCCAACAATATATTCAAACAACAGCTTTTTCAATTTTACTTTTTAATTTTTTATTTTTTATTTAATTTTTTATTTTAATGTAATATTTATATAATACAGCGATTTCTTTACATTTATTTGTTAAGTAATTAAAGCAGTAGACACGAGACATATTTATGCGAGTAATATAACGCGTTTGGGCAGATTAAACATCGAAATCATGCGATACGGTTGTCTTAACAAAGTGCAATACCTAAACAAGCCTAAATAAGACATCGTTGCAACTTTTCCAGTGCAATGCCTAAACAACATGTAACAATCAGTGATTATTTACGCGCCGCCATACAAAGGCGACTCTGACGTAATGATTGCACTACGGACTCTAATTCGCGGCCGATGGGGTGTGCTCAGAAAAGAAAAAAAAAAGATTATTGTAAGAACGTTGTACATACAGTATAATGCATTACGTTAGTACAGGGTGTGCGTCCGTGAGAAAATTCGCATGAATCTGTTTACCGTTATCGTGTTGCCGTAAAAAACACGCGGAGTATCCTTGGATGAACATTATCAATTCAAATGCTTGCGTTTAAGTTAAGCGTCAATGATTTTAAGTTAAGTCTCTCAATGATTCTTTGCCAAATATCTATACCAAAGAAAATTAGCTCCCTTATGATTTGCAGATAGTATATTAAGTGACAAAACATGTAATTTAAAACTTGTTATATGTATAAACATTATTTCTTTAATATTCATTTACCATTCTTCGACATTGTTTGTCATTTTATCTAGTCATGCATTTAATGGCTTGCGTTTAGTAGAAAAAGCAGCTTTACGACTGCTTTGAAATTCTTCAATATATGATTGGTTTATATATTTAGATCCAGCGAGGAATTAAGGACGAGAAGCACATTCAGGAAAAGTACACAAAGTAACAGTAATATAATCAATTTTATAATTTTACACTCAACAATATAACTGTTACGTACGTGTGTGTTATATTATATTTATATTGTTAAATGTGAAATTATAATATTGATGTTATGTTACTATTAGTTGGTGTTTATTAGACCATCATTTTAAAGGATCTGACAAACAGTTGTAAAACTGCTTTTTCTGCTGAATGCAGCCAATGTTTTATTTTATTTTATTTTATTTTTTTTTATTAAAGTGCGCATTAATATCAATCGCAAAGATGTTAGCCAGAGAGCAAAATATATATAATCGCATGACGGTAAATTGAACATGCGAAATCGTTTGGTCCAAGGAAACGTGAACTCGTACGCGAAAGGAGCTGACAAAATTCCACGAGCATCGTCGGCGTTTACATTTGGATTAAATCGGGCATGTGTACATTAAAACGCATTAAAATCTGTCGATAATGAATCACAATTTCCAACGAGATCCCGCGGCAATTTGCTCGCAAAATGTACTCATGTTCGATTCAGACCAAAGCTGATATACGTGTATCATAAACTCTTTTAACTTATTTGTTATGTGAAGAAATGGGTAGAGATGCTACATAAAAACAAATCAAATGATGGGCGTGTAAGAAACGATCATCGAAGTATAATATTTGTACATTTATTCAGTCAGTATGTCGGTGCTTGCTTAAGCGTGAAAATCGCTCGTTCCTTTGATGTAATTTTACAACGAAACCGCGTTAACCGTACATTCTCATCATCCGTCATCGAGAGAGGCGTAGACGATAATCAAAAAGTACAACGTTTAAGTCATATCAATTGACGGCATACGCAATCAGAATCAAACTTTCACCCCATCCTTTTTAGAAATCACGTGAAATATGTGGCCGCTCTACCCATATCAAGACGAAGGATGGATTGCCGAAACCGAATTCGATCCTGAACAAAACACAACATAGAAATTCGCACTTTGCAGCAAAAATTATTATATTAAATCATCATTTAAATATAAATGATAACTTCTAATTTATTTCCGACAAAGCAACCTTACTCCTGATAGAAATTTAATGCTAGTGTAATCAATTAATCACTTATTTTCAATATTAAAAGTAATGTTAACAAAATGAATGATTAATTGATCAAATATTATCACTGAAAGACAAGATTGGCTGAATATGACATAGCATTTTTAATTGGCTGTAACAGCCAATTTTTGGTTGCGTTAGCCTATCGAAATCTTATACTAACATTGCAGACAGGCTAACACAACCAAAAATTGGCTTCTGCAGTCAAAATATTTACTATGCCATATTTTACCATCTAATTCACTGCAGCAGCTAATCTTTTCTTTCAGTGTAGAATTAAATTTCTACAAGGAACGAGGATATAATATCAGAATGCTATTAAATACAACTTTGTTGCATTGTTTAGCGTTAACAAACATTATACTAATTAAAAAAAGTTGCACATATTGCAGAAATTTAAACTTTTGAAGGAGAGAAAAAAATCATCACGTAATTGATTTAATACTTAACCTGTTTAAAATCTGTTCATAAAATAATATTCTTGAATTAGATCTTATTGCAAGAACGAGCGAAGATTTGATAATCTGTCTGTAGAATTATTGTACCATAATTAAATAAAATCATTTAAGAACCGTTTTTGGCAATTAATAAAGAAATAATTTTACTTTTTATTTAAAGGATAATATTCGTACACAAGTATACTTCATTTAATGTTTAATTTTTTTAAAGTTGTCTTCTCCATAATATATCAGTCGAAACAAAGTTTAATAAAAAAATTAATTAAAAAAAACCTAACTCAGTGAAAAATGACAATGAAATCAATGTCAAATCGACGTTGATTTGATGATTTCGATTCCATTATTATCTCTCACTGGGTAATATCATTTGAATGAATGATAGCACAAAATCTATTCTTAGACAGGCTATTCAAATAAAAGAAAAGTAAAAGAAAAAAAAGAACTTGCAGTATAAGTCGCAAAAGACACAGGTAACACAGTGTAAGACAGTGTCAAGAATTATTATATCATTATTGTTTGCCAATGTTAAAGTTGCCAGAAATAAAATGATCACTATGTAACATTGTGTTATGTTATCAATATTACACTAGCGATTGAAGATTGCGTCTACAATCGCGTTTGCATCTTTTGACCAATCAAAAAGAAGCTGTTGATCAGCAGTTCCTTTCTGATTGGTTGATAAATGCAAATGCAAACGCAGACGCAACCTCCAATCGCTAATGTGATATCAACATTACACGACTGCAGTCAAAATCTCACTACAAATGCTTTGAAGCATTTGGTTGACCAATTAGAAAAAAGAATTTTACAAATCAACCAATCAAAAATTGCTTTAAAGCATTTGTAGCATCGCATTTATCGTATCCTTATGTCTCTTGTTGGAAAGCACCAAATAAACATTTATCTCGTATCTCGGTTGCTTATCACTAATATTTTCTCAATAGTCTAAACTATCTATTGATGTATAGTCTTTGAAAACCGCGAACTTTAAAGAGCACAAACCCTCGACGGGCAACCAAGAGTTTTAAAACATTACCCAAGTGCCTTCGAGTATTTTATCCTTCTCTAACATTCGGTGAACAACAAGGTATGATGCTCGGAAGCACTCGGGTAACGTTTTCAAACGTAGCAAGAAGCGATTTTCCTTCGTGAATATCGCAATCCTCATCGGCGCGTGTCGGCAATCCTTCCCCAGAAGAAGGAAGGCGTACCTCGTGTCGGAGAGAAGCGTAACTCCTTAAGACGTATACTGTACCATACTACTCGTAAGTGGCCCTAAGCATTCCTAGAATAATTTTAACGATTAGCGCGGCCCCCGAGACGGCCCGTGGGACCGATCGTGCAATCGGCACCGCGACGGGAAACGGTTGTTATCCAGCAGATGGTTTCCGGATCGGTCCGACGGGTCGCGAGCGCGAAAGGGCGCTCATGTAGATAGGGTGTTTTCATGTGTAGCTTAGGCGTGTAGAGAATTTAGTCTTAGTGCGAGGATGCGGCGAGAAGTGAGTGTCGGCAGAGAAAGAGAGAATGGAAATAAAGGCGCGTTGCGTGCGTTATT